ACCAACGTGTCCAACACCAGCACCACCTGTTTCGAAGGGTTCTCCAAAAGGATCTGGAAAACCTACCTGTCCAAGATCACCATATTTATTGAGGTGGTGGGATTCATCATCCCTCTGCTGCTCAACCTCACGTGCTCCTCGCTGGTTCTCCGGACTTTACGGAAGCCGGCCACCCTGTCCCAGATTGGGACGAACAAGGAGAAAGTGCTCAAGATGATCATTGTGCACGTGGCCATTTTCGTTGTGTGCTTTGTCCCCTACAATTCCATCCTGTTCCTGTACGCGCTCGTGCGCTCCCAGGCCATCGCCAACTGCTCCCTGGAGAGGTTTGCCAGGACCATGTATCCCATCACGTTGTGCATCGCCACCCTCAACTGCTGCTTTGACCCCTTCATCTACTACTTCACCTCCGAGTCCTTCCAGAAGTCCTTCAACATCAAAACCCAGATCAAAATGGATTCTCTCTTCAAGACAGAGATGCCGCTCACAAAGACGGCGCTGCCGGCACCGCAGGATGAGATCAGTGACCAGGCCATCACCAACGGGGGAGATCCCACATCTGAATCCCATTTCTAGGGAGATGTTTACACAGGGAGTTACCCCCCATTAACTCCTGATTAACAGCACGTGGCAAAGAGCAGCTCCAGAAAACGGGGGCTCACACGTGGGGTTAATGAAGAAAAGCTGCTGGGGGACGACAGATCCTCGCACTGGGATGGTCCCATCACGTTCCACAGGTGAACACAAAGCATGAAAATCCCAATGGATCTCCCTTTGGAGATTATGGAGAGGCTACAACACATGCATCAACTCAGGAGGGAACAGAACAGCTTCTTTAACCAGAAGATGCCAACATTTGGCATTTTTTCCCCTCAGCAGTTGACATGGGACCAGTTGGGAAATAGAAAATTTCATTTTTTTTTAGAAATTACTGCCAATATTTCTGCCTTCTGCAGGTGCATCCTCATCCTCATATGTTAACTCAGTAACTTCCCACAATATGTATGTTTGCTTACAAAGGCATAATAAAAGCTTGTGGCTTTTCCTTACTCCACTGCCAGAGTGCAGAGCCTGGTTTTCCTAGAGACTGGAATTTATGGAGAGCTTTGAAGTGTAAATAATTGTTTAGCAATTAGGCAAAAGAGTTGCTTGGTGACAGAAAAGATAATAAGAAAAAAAAAGATAATTATTACTACAGTTTTGAAAGATGAAGTTTCATTTTTATCAGATTAAGCTGTCATTTAATTTATTTGATTATTTTTAATGCCACATCTGGGGAGGAGTAAAGAGCTCATTAATGATCTGCTACACCTGGGCTTTTATATCCCAGAGGATTAAATTACTATTTCTGGGAAGGGCTGGACTGTAAAGTCAGCTGGAGAAGGGCCTGGAACCCCAGAGTTCTTCCAAGGGCAAAGCTCCCATCCAGAAGCTGAGGCAGGTGAAGCCCAGGAGTGCTGACCCCACTGAAATATGGACAAGTGGTGTCACAGCACCCAACTGAGGGAGGATCTGTGATTGCTTAATGGGTTTTTAGGGCCTCAAGGTAACTCAAAAACCAATTTGCTGCACTCTTTTCTTAGCTGGTTACAGCAATATTGTCTTGTTTTCCAATTAATTTATTACCTTTCTTTTTATAGATTACAGAAATATATGGAAAATTAATTATTTGTATGTGTTGCATTTTACCACCTGGTTCCTTTCTCCAGCTCTTGGCTCGTGTTTGAAGCTCTACAGCCCTTCCCAGGCTGGTTCATTCTTAAGTGTAAGACACAGAAATGAGGTGAACAATTTCATTTGAAAAAATATAAAGTTACAACTTGTTAGCTACATTACCATGGCAAAGCTACTTCTAGGGAATTATTGCTAAAAAAAGAGACAAATTATTAATTGAGCAGATGTTTTCCAGTCAACTCTATTTTAAGTCTCTCTGATGAAGCCTCATGAGATATGAGAGCAGGACCTCAAATGTGATCATTTAAAACAACAGAGGTTTAAATGGGAGAAGAATTCAGCTGTAAAATGTTAATGCTTCCAAGGGAATATTTATTTAGCACTGCATTCACTTTGAATAAAGAAGTCAGTGGCTAACCAAGGTTGAAAGACCCCAAAAATGATTCTATTTCAGCCCTAAAATGTCACTTACTGGAGAAAAGCATATGATCAACTCATTATAGACAGAGAACATGAGAGCAGCCAAAATATTCTATTTCAGCTCCGAGTTACAGCAACATTTACTGGAAACCTGCACACAGGACTGGCTTGGGAGGCTTTTCTGGAGATTAAACCCACACACAATTGCACTTTGGAGCAGAAGAATGTGAAAACAGGGAGAGATCATTGAAAAAAGTTGGTGGAATGAGGTCAGTGTGGCAGGACAAGGGACAGGCAATGACAGGGAATTTGTCAGCAGCTGGGAAAGGTTCACCTCCAGCCCAGGGGATGAGCTGGGCTTTAGGAAGCAGCAGTATTTGCCATTTAAATAGTGCCTTGTCACTTTTCCTGCCTGTGCCCCTTTCCTCCTGCACCCAAACTCTCCAGAGGGAATTTTAAAATCCACATTTGGCTGTTCAGCCCATCTCAACCCTTGCCATGAAATGTGTGCACTTCAGAGAAGTTGTTCCCTTCAGATCAAAAGGCAAAGAGGGATTTTCCAGGCTTCCCTACAGGCAGAGTTCTCCCTGAGGAGCAAATCCTTCATCCCATGGCAGAGAGGAGGGTTGGGAACCATCAGCAGCTCTGACACACCCCAGACTCTGTGAGAAATGGGGCACCCCATCCCAAACCCCGCCAGGAACTGGACTTAATGAGACACAAGTGCATTTTTTAGGGATGAGAGAGGGAAGGAAAAAGAGCAAGAAGAATTCATTAAAGAGTTTCATTTCTAGGGGTGGGAGAGAGAAGGGTTCTCTAAAAAACTGAGAGTGCATTTAGAACCACAGAATATCCCAAGCTGGAAGTGACCCACAAGGATCATGGAAGTCCAACTCCTGGCCCTGCACAGGACAGCCCCAAGAATCCCACCCTGTGCCTAAAAACATCTCCCTCCTTGCAAGAAAAATATCTGGAACATAAGAAAATGCTCTTCTCTGAGGCAAAGCCCTGCTTAATTCAGATTTACAGAGATGAGAAACCTGTTTACCCTCAGCTTGTTCTCAGCAGGAAACATCCAACTGCCAGCTTGGAAATCTTATTTTAAAGCTGCTGCTTTACACTTGCAAAGCAAGAAGAGATTGCAGAGGTTGTGGGGTTTGGGAGCTTTGTGGGACAGGGCTGTTCTCATGCCTGGTGGCTGCAGAATCTCTCATTTCCAGAGTCCTGAGATGCCTTCTGCTCTGGGTGTGCTCCACAGACCTTCCTCTGGTAAAATCCAAGGGAAGAAAGAAAAATCCAGGCTAGAAACCACTGTCTGGGCTTCTGAAGGAAAGAGAGGAGGGAAAGAACTGCCTGGGACTGGACAAGCTCCAGGCCCCACATCCATGGCCTGCCTGTAATCCCAGCATAATGGGTGTCTTTTTGGGAGCCAAACCAGTGCCAATGCTTACAAATTTCTGTTTGCAGTTTTATGGGGCAAGAGCTGTGGTGGATACTCTCACATAAAATGTAATCCTATCATCCCGTGCCAAAATGCCAACTGAAAAGATCCATTATTTTGTAATTTAAGACCTCATAAATTATATGGAGATCACATAATGACTGACACTCACATCTGCTGGGACAGGTCTTGACTAATCTGGTTTTTTCTAGGTCAGGTACACTGAGTACACACTCCATGGTTTGTGGATAAATAACCAATTATGCATTCAGAGAGAGGAAAAGTAATTTTTCAGATGTCAGCAAAGCCAAGCTGGGAGGAGAGGGTGGCAGAAAAGTGGATTCCCAGCTTTTCTGGCTGAGGGGCAGCTGAGTGTTCCTCCCCCTGACAGAGGGCTGCTGTCAGCAAAGACAACACCACAACTTCAAGTTTAAAAACAAAATCAAATTAATTAAAAGTCACTGCCTTCAGTTGAGGCTGAGACAGGACCCAGAGATCCTAAACAAACATTAATCATGGCTTTCCCTGCTCCCAGCCAGCTCCCTGTTCCCATTCCCCAGTCCTCCCACAACATTCATTCACCAGCTTTGCAACCCATTGCCCAGCTGGAAAAGCTGCAGCTCCAAAAGGCTCCTGGGCCCTCTGCCCAGCCCAAACCCACCCTGGGCTGCCCACACCTGTGAAATTCTGTGCCAATCCAAGCTATCACCAGAGGGAGAAGCAGGGCTTTGTTCTACAGTCCCAGGGAAGCTCCTCTCGGTGCCACCACGGGCCCTACAATGGGTGAAAGGTGCCAGGTCTTGGGTAAATCTTGTGAAAATCTCCACCAGCTTTGCACAATCAGTGCAAACTACCCAGAGCCACATCTGTGAACCACAAGGGCAAAGAGGCAGCACAAATCAGGTATAAAAGTCATGGATTAGCTCTTGGACGAGCCAGAGGGAGGGAAAGTTCCTGTGCTGCACACGCACATCAGCCAGGCTCTCCTCCTGTCCCTGCTCCCTGCATGGATCCAGCCTTGAAATCCCTCTAAAACTAACCCTGGGAAGTTTTTTTGGTGGTTCTCCCTGAAGTTCTCCATGGATGAGGGAGGGAGGCTCCGCTCCTCACCCAGCAAAAATAAATGGATGACCCAGAAGGAATTTCCCTGTGCCGGAGAGACCCAGCACCTCTGACAGCCTCCTCAGGAGCTGTGGCCCTGCAGAGCTCCCCAGACATTCCATGCCATTCCCAGTGGGAAGGTTTGCTGTCCAGGCAGGAAATTCTCCTGTGAAGGTGTCCTTTGGGGCAGCCCCAAAGCTTTGGTGTGTCCACAGAGCTCTTGGGGCAGGAATTGGGGGCAGGAACAAAGCAGCCCTCACTTCACTAAGCAGGTTTTGGTGCTCAGCATTAACTGAAGAGAGAGGCAGAGCTGTTCTCCAAGGATTAGCAGCCCAAGCCTTGTTTTTGCTGTAATTCCAGGAAAGCTGTAATTTTTATTTCTGAATGCTGCCCCCAGGCTGACCCCAGAGCCCAGGCTGGTCTGAGCTGTGTGTGTGCCCTCTGACACTCCAAGGACCATAAATCACCCCTAGAATCATGGAATTAAGGTTGGAAAGACCTCCAAGATCATCAAGTCCAACCATCAACCCAGCCCTACCATGTTCACCACAAATCCATGTCCCCAAGTGTCACATCCACACATTTTCTGAACTCTTCCAGGGATGGACACCCCATCACTTTGCTGTTTCAGCACTTGACAACCCTTTTGGTGAAAGAATTTTTCCTGATATCCGATCTAAACGTCCCCTGGCACAACCTGGGGCCATTCCCTCTCATGCTGTTGTGACATTTGTACATATCTCCTGAATTTCCCTGAAATTCTGCGCCATGGAGATGCCACTTGGAGAAATTCAGGTTTGTGGGAGGTTCAAGCAGGTGAGGAAGATCTACCCAGGACATCTTTGCTTCCCACAAGAGTGCTCAAACTCCTTTTCTCTGGGTACACATTCCAACCTGCGCCATGGAGATGCCACTTGGAGAAATTCAGGTTTGTGGGAGGTTCAAGCAGGTGAGGAAGATCTACCCAGGACATCTTTGCTTCCCACAAGAGTGCCCAAAGCTCCTTTTCTCTGGGTACAATCATGGGAATGTTCTCCCTTTCCTGTTTGCTCTGTCAGGACCTGGCTGTGTTTAAAGGCTCGTTCTGCCCGATGTCAAATCCCTGAAGTGTCCCAGGCCAGGCTGGATGGGGCTTGGAGCAACCTGGGATAGTGGGAGGTGTCCCTGCCCAGGTCTTTAAGGCCAATTCCAACCCAAACCATTCCAGGATTTAAAACAGTGATTTTAAGCCCTATAAAATGTTCACATTTCACAACAAAACATGGAGCTGTTCCTGTTTTTCCCCTCTGGAAAACATCACTTCAAACTAACACTTTAACATCACTTAAGACTAACATTTAACACAGCTGGCTGTCCTTGATTTTAATTCTTAAATTTAATTTCCATGCAAAACACCAGGACATTCACACCCCTAAACCACTGGGACAAGCAAGGAGTGGGGTGGTTTCTTTTTGGGATCACTTGGCATATGTTTTCCAAGAAAACTGTCCAGTTCCTAAGAAAACCCTGGGCTGGCTTTTCCCTGCCTGAGGGATTTGAGCAATGTAAATATTGTATAGAAGTGACCAACGCCCATGTTTTGCACTGTTTGCTCTTTTCTGTATCTCTGTGGATGTGTGTGGATAATGAAAAAGGAAAGTTTTTTTCTGCAAAAACAGAACGTGTGAGTGTTCTCATTTACCCTGACTTACATAAATACATAGTGTTAGCTGGAATAATATTTAAATTTCACTTTCTCTGTAGCCCTCTCAAATCCTGGGTACGTCCAGCACACATGGAGATTTTCCTGGAAACCCTCAGCATGGAAACTGGTCTTGCCTTTTCCTTGGTTTGTACAAATCCCCCCATTTCTTCCATCATTAACCCAAATCACCTCTGCAGTCATGGAATACTTTCTTGGAACTCATTCCTGAGATCACTTCTAAGACCACAACACACAGAAAAAAAAAACAAACCTAAACCAGTTGCACTGAACCATTTTAATTTATATTTCCCCAAATTCTCATCTTTCCTGCACAGGATGACACACTGCTAGCAGAATAAAATTAACCTTAAAAATATCTTTTGACCCCTGGAAGGGCTGTGCTGCTTCCAAAGCTGGCCTTTGTGTTATCCCTGGAAGTGCCATGGAATAAAAGCCCTCTCAGCACCAGGGAGGGTTGAAATCTCACTCAGGGAGTCTGAGAACCTCATGGATGACACTGAATTAGCAGCTGACTCCCAGGGGAGGTGTTGTTTTATGTCCTAAATCAATATTAGCTGCATTAGGGTGCTGAGGAAAGTGCCGTGCAAGAGGTGTCTCAGATCTCCTGCTACACAGATAAAGAGATGGGAGATAATTTACAAATTTTACATAGGTCACGCAAAGAAAAAAGAACAAGCCTGTTTTAGTGGCACTGTGGCACTATTAGCATGATAAATTCTGGCTGCTCTGTAACTGCCTATTACACACTGAAAGCCTGGACTAAAGAAAACCCCCCAAAATAAGCCTGGGATAAGCCCAGGCCATCACCCAGCAGGGCCAGGTGTTGGTTGTGCAGCTCCAGGGGATATTTTGTTATTTATAACATGATCAGCACGACTCAGAGCTCCAGGTCACACAACTGTGGAGCCATCAGAGCACAACTGTGGAGCCATCAGAACCCAAATTTCCAGCAAATGAGCAAAAAGTCCTCTTAAAACCAGGATTAAGCCTGGCCTGGAACTGCCTGACAGGCCCAGGAAGGGATTTGAGACCTTGCCTCATTTTCAGGTTGGGGCAGGAAAAAGGTTCAGGTTTATTAAAGGACAAATTTCCGTCCTAAGTCCAACAATCACATCCTGGAATACCTGGAGGAGGAATTTTCTCTTTCTGGCTCAGGGTTGCTGTTTTCCCCCTGGCACAGGGACAGCTGGAGGCCACAGACAGGGGCCCAGAGGATCCCACTGAAATTCCTGCACTCACCTCCAGATTTTGCATTGCAAATGATTTCATTTGAAAAGCTCCTTCCCCCAGGGTTACTCAGGAGAATAATTTGGCATTTTCCAACCCCATTCCCACTTGTGAGAGATGACACGGATGATGGAAACATCCTGATCCAAGGGAAAGGAGAATACTGGGGAAATTTGTCATAATTTAGGCATAAAAGTGACTTTTTGGCAGTTCAGATTCCTGTCTTTTTCCATCTATTACCTCATCATTCCAAACTGGCAGAGCAGTGAGGGATCACAGGCAGGATTGAGGATGAGGAGACACCTGTAAAACACTGTCCTGGCACAGCCACTCCTTCCCAAATATTTATCCTCCAATTCCCCCTTTAAACACAAGTCCTTCATTGATACTTTCTAAATCCAGGGCTCACAGAACATTTGTCCCTCTGTTTTTTGAGGAGGGGAGGACAATGACATTGATTTGGGAGGCTGCCTCATTTTCTCCTCTCCATATTGCCTTGAGCTGTACAACACCTGCTTGGGAGAGCATATTGTCCCCCAGATCTCAGCAAAATAAATTAAAATTAAACAGAATTCTAATTTCCACCACCTCCCCCAGAATGAGGGGTGTTTTTTTTTATCCTGGATCTATGAACCAGGTTCCTGGGAACAGCTTTATCCCATCCATCCCTGTGCTGGCACAGAGAAGGTGCCCATGGAGGGAGGACAAGGGGAACTTCTAAGCCAACTTTGCAGCCCCACAGAGCCCCCCTCCAGGACAAACACCAGGGGGTGCTGAAGGTGGACTTTTATTTCCACATTAAGTCCTGAATACAACTCCTGGACATTGAAACTGCCTGGCTGACACCACCAGCCCCTCAAAGCCACCTCAACCTTGGAGACCCATGGTTTAAATCAGAACTGAAGGGTGATTCCCACGTGATTTCACCCCTTACTCTCATTTCTGTTTCATCAGCTGAACCTGTTTGGGTTTGCACTCCAGCTCTCACAACAGCAGAGTCTTTCGACTAATGGAGCACTGTGCCCTTGGGAAAGAAATGAAAAATACTGCTAAAAACATCCTTTGGTTATTGGGAGCCAGCAGCTGAGGAGGGACAGTTATCTCTGGATTCCTGGTAGACATAGCAGGGCAGATTGAGGGAATCAGTCACAAGGCAAAAAGGGAAAAAATCATCAGGATAACCCCAGTCCAGCAGTGAGAATAAGTGCCTGAATTCCTGAGAAGTCCTTGACTTGCCACAGCCTTGAGCCAGACTGGGACTGATGTTAAAACTGCAGAGCACTTTGGGTGTTTGGGGATTGAAAATCACACCTGCATTTGTCTGTTCCCAAAACTTCACCAGAAATGCTGCATGGTTTTCCCATCCCTATGGAGGATGGCCTGGAATCACATCCTTGCTTGTGTCCCACACAGTGCTGGAAGAGCCACAAGGGCAGAAAGGGAAGATGGAAGGAGTGCAGGATAACTCCATGAGCATTTCCAGGAACTATTCCATGGGATTCTAGGAGGAGTAGCTTGTCCTGTGAAGGAGGGTGAGGATTTGGGACCATGCTTTATGGTCGTGCTGGGTTAATGGCTGGACTCAATCTCAGGTGTCTTTTCCAACCTAAACAATTCCATGATTTGGAAGCATGAAGGCTGAGGGAGAGGAGGGAGGCTGTGTGTCAGAACTAGATCATAAATCTCCCCAAATAACTCATGGACCTGAATCTTCCACAGGGGTCACCTCCCCTTGCCAAGCTGGCCAGGTGCCCGGCAGCTCACACCTGAACCTCATCCTGCCTCAGCACAGCTCCAGGTTTAATAAATCCAGGATTTCTGGCCAGGGAGCAGGGCTGAGCTCACACAGCCCTGTTGTTTCCACTCGGGGCTTGGCTCACACCTGGCCAGCCTCAAGCAGAGCAGCCCCAACATCTGCAGGAGCCCCCAGCCCCAAAACCTCAGGTGCTTTTCAAACACTGCCACGGGGGTTTGATTACAAGCAGGACCTTTTTATTTTTAATCAGAAAAACCTGGGAACGTGTTCTGCAAACAAGTTTTATTGTCTTAAACTGGAGGTTTTATCGCCAACATCTGAGACTGGGGGAGGAAAAAAAAAATCCCAGGCGGTTTGCAAAGCCATTCCCCCTCTCCTGTGAGTCACAGGTTTGACCCAGCCTGGTGGGACAGGAGCCATCTGACAACAATGGGAGTCTGGCACTTTGCATCCCGGAGTTCAACGAGCTCACGGGCCCTAAAAATAAACCCTGCTAAGCTGCTGAAGCTGAATTTTCCTACCAAATTTCCTGCTGAGCTGATCCAACCATCGTTTGACCACATGGATAGACCTCCTTGGTTATAGGCAGGGAGATTTAATTAGGAAGGGAGGAAGCAGGGAATTCCTGTTTGGGTTTTTTTTTTTTTTTGGAGGGAAGAACAAATGAGACAAAAAGAATTATGAGCAATGGACATTTATTCCTGGCACTGGAGTTGCTGCAGAGTAAAGGATGCTGTGAAACCTCTCCTTCCTCCTCAGGGGTCTCTCTCTCCTTCCTTCCCTTCATCCAGCACGGTTTAAATAAAGAAACATCTGCAGAAACTCCCCAACAGACGAGCCCTAATCAGGGAAAGATAAATCTGAGTATCTGGGATGTGTTTGGAGGTGTAGGATGCCGAGGGGCTTTGTGGGAATTGGGTGCCAAGTCACTTGAGCTGCAGATTAGAGTTGGCAGGGATCCCACGGAGCCTGGCCCCAAGAAATGTGCTGCAGGACAGCCAGCCATGGGAATACTCACAGGAAGGGACACACTGAAGTGCCACGGCTCAAAAAGGACATCTTGGTACAAGGGGAGTGCTAGGAGTGCATCTAAATTGCAAAGAGGTGGAAAAAATCCTGATTAGGCAGAGAAACCTGTGGTGTGTGGAGTGGGGAAGGGCTGGAATTCCCCTTGAGCTCAGCATCTCATCTCGTGTGTGGGAGCTCTGTGCAACCTTTACACCTCTGTCTGTATTTAGGGAGAATCCAAGAGTTTCCACTCTGACAGGAGTTGTTTGGGACCCGAGAGCTGCTAAAACCCCAGTCCCAGCCAAAGGGGCTCCCTGGCTGCTCCCAGGCTTTGGAAGGGGTCCCTGCCCATGGAACAGGGTGGGCTTTAGGGCGCCATGAATCCCCTGGGATCCTATAAGGGGAGCACATCCTCTGCTCCATGGGGATGTGCCTGATGCTTTCCTCCAGGGAAGCAGCAGCCTGTGCCCTGTCCTGAGTCCTGCAGAGCTCCCTGAGTGCTGCCTCACCCTGAGAGATGAGAACAGAACCTTTATCTGGTTCCAGAGATCACCCCAGAGCTCCGTCCCTGCCCCAAACAGGAAATCCCAGTCAGCACCACGAGGGCCCAGAGCAAACAGGCACTTTTCCAGCAGCAGGGTTTTCACACCTCTCCTGGGCTGCTCTTTCCCTTTGCTCTTCTGCTCAGTATTTCAGGGGGAAAATGGATAACATGGGAGATTTAAAGCACTTCCCCATAAAACCAGCTCAGTTTCACAGCTCCAGCAGGAAAATCTCCTCTGCTGAGGCTGAACAGGCACTTGCAGCTGGAGCAGGGGGAGACCAATGGCTTCAACAGGATCTATTTTTCCTGGCTTTGTCTCACTCGACTGCTCCAGAAAGCAACCCAAGGGCTCTAGGCAAGGAGCAGAGATCAAATTTACTTCCTTTCCTTGCAGGGTTTGAAGTGAAAGATCCTATTCCACAGTGCTCTCT